TCCGTCTACAAACTGCCGCCAGTAACCCCGTTTTTTGGCCTTGATGAGGCTCTTGAGTTCGCGTTCAAGAGATGTGTATGCGTCGAAATGCTCGCGTGTTCCGCGTTTCCGAAAAAGTTTAAACGCGTCGGACTTTTTACGGTAAACCTCCGTGCATTGTTGATCCCACCAGAGCGATGGTGTTTTCTTACGAATAGACGATCGTGGCACCGGTCGTGTTTGAGCTTGAAGTGCGCTGTCGACGATGAGATTAGAGAGGAAATTATATTCCTCCAACGGCGGAAGCTCTTCCATTGACGATACTGTATCGTCTATCGCGGATTGGAACTTAGTCCAATCAATGTTACGGGTTAGATCATACGCGACGTTAACGGATTCTGACGAGTTGAACCCACTGGCAATCGAAATTTTGATCGGCAGATGATCACTACCGTGCGGATCCTGGATTACATGCCAAGTGCAATCCAACGATAGTGAATTGGAGCAAAAGGTGAGGTCTAATCTGCTACCATTCGAGGATGGACCAGCCAAACGTGTTACTTCTCCATTGTTAAGTATTGTCATGTTGAAGTTGTCGCAGAGATCATAAATCAAAGTAGAACGGTTATCATCGTACAGCTCCCCCCAGCCTGTACCGTAGGAGTTAAAATCTCCCATGATCAACCATGGAGCGGGAAGTACCGCACATGTGTCGAAAAGTTGTTTGCGATTAACAGAGACTCTAGGAGCAATATATACAGAAGCAATACAAAGGCTCTTACCTTTAATGGTAGCCTGACATGCGACAACTTCAATACCGGGGAATTCGGGAAGATTCACTCTATAGAAGGAATGGCACTTTTTGATGCCCAAAAGTACCCCTCCTCCACGTGAATCCTCACGATCCAATCGAATAATGTTAAAATCGTAAAAAGGGATATCAATTTCTGAAGAGAGCCATGTTTCACAGAGGGCAAATGCATCGCAATTATTGTTATGGACTAAATACTTGAACGAATCTAATTTCGGAATAAGACTTCGACAATTCCACTGTAGAACAGTGATCAAATCCCCGACCTCGTTTGGAAAATTATCCATCGAAGGAGATGATAGCTGCAAGAAGGGGCCATTTTGAAGTCAATTGCTTCAAGAAGGATTTCACAGTCGGAAGCAATGTGAGGACAATGCTTTTCAGAGGATCAGAAATGTTGAGGTATTTGAGAATACCGTCCACAATGTCATCAAATGAGAACAGCCCAGATGAAGAAGGGGTTTCTGTTCTTAAAATTGGGGCATCAGGGGTTTTGGATGTCCCCGGAAGAGGTGGAAAATCCTGGGTATAATCAGTTCTGCGGAATCCAGGAGGAGTAGAAGTCTCCTTTTTTCCACCACTCCTTGATTTGGGCAAGCTGATTTGGGGTTCTTGATCTGCAACTTTCCGCGAACGGATGCGTTTTCGTTTCCGGGCAGAACCTTCCGGAAAACTGAAAGAAACTCCCTCCTCAGCCAAGTCAGAGCCAGACTCGTCATCTGACAAAAGAGAAAAGGGATTTTTGTCATTGGTCGATGGCGTGGCTGTCTTAAGCATTTCTGCAAAAGACCGCCTGTAACGTTCCTTAAGGGAGCGTTTCATTTTGTCCCCGAGCTGTTTGTACGCCGGGCACGACGAGAGAGCATGAGGAGGAGTTCCATTGCAGTACACGCATTTTGGGGCAGTAGCTGCGCAGGCGCCATCCTCATGCTTCTCCCCGCATGTGGAGCAGCGTGCCTTGTTGCCGCAGTGGGAGGCCGTATGTCCCAACCGCTTACAATTCTGGCAGTTCATGACCCGAGGTACAAACAACCGCACAGGAAGACGAAGTTTTCCCAGCTCGATGTATTGAGGAAGGGCAGATCCAGAAAAGGTCACCCGAAACGAGTCTGTGGGGGTAAAACTCTTTTTACCCTCGCTGAGCGATACTGACTTCATTCTATGAACGGCCAGTATCTTTACCGGAGGAAGCAAGGGGTTTTTGAATCGGCCAACCGCTTGCTTCTCCAGTATCTCGGGGTTCAGACTCGCCTCAGTGACCACGCCTTCGATCTCCACATCAGAGGCTGGAATGTACACCCTATATTCTAGTGTGAAAAACTGGGAAACAGCAATTTCATTGGCCTGTTTCAGGTTAGCGACGGTCACACGAAGTTTGTTGTGCCTAACCTTCGTTATTTCGGTCACGGCAGAGAATCGCTTTGTCAGATCATCAGATATCTGAACAACATTCAAGGGTTTGTTTTTGGGCTGAAAATAGACAACCCATGGGCCAGTCGAGTCATTCGGGTAGGCCCGCAATCTGGTGCTTTTCTCATCCTGCCCATTGACAGACTGAGACGACGAACCAGGGATGACATCATCATTATTCTGAGATGAATGGTCATCCATGTCGTCTTCTGACAAAACATCCATTGTGTTCAACTATTGTGAACGCACAGACACAATACACAGAAAACACTACAAACACAGAAATACAAAATGAAAATTTAACTAATGGGGGAGGAAAAGAAACAAGAAAAAAACAAAAACTTATCTGATAATCCTATACTACTACCACCGAGCGTTATATGTGTAGGCGTTTACACAGATGGCTGGAAGAGACGCGCTGCGTGGATGACCTTCGTTGTGGTGCACTTGATCGAGGCGCGGTACTCAGCGCACACAGGCGCACGATGATTGATGAACGATGTAGATGTAGAAACGGGTGCTCACACTCGATGATGATGATACGTAAGCGGGTATGCGTGAGCGCGTATGCGTGACCACGCAACGATGATGCCCAAATTGTTTTGCGAATTACCAATAGCACGGATTAATCGTTCCGAAAATGACACTTTCTACTACAAAAAAACTCACTTTTCGATCAATTTACCGGGAACTATGCCAGGAGTCACTTAGTGAGAAAAAAACTGATAATTTATATCAAGCGAATACCGAGAAAACTTCCAAAACAACGGAGCGCGAAACAAGTCGACCGTATAGATGGTATGAATACTCAAAAGTGAGAAACTTCAAGTTGGTGGGGAACAATGTTAATGAAACGGACGGGTGTAACAAAAGACAATCACTGAAATTTATTAGTTTTAGAACCTCATTATGAATGTCTTTTTTTGTTAGACGCTTATTTTAATTTATTTCATTTATTTCTTCTTGTATAAATGGATTTACGAAATGTTAGTGCTCACACAGCAAACCTGCTACTCACCACGAATAAGAATCAATTTTTTTTTCACCCCTCAATAGAAAGATGGGGAAGTAAACTCTTTTTATTGATACGGCTTTTTATTGCAAGTCTTTATCGCACAAGTATGCTCTGAAACATTATTCTCAAGACTGATAATATTCAAGAGCAAAATATAATAGAATTAACCAATGTGTTTTAATTTCCATTTGATTATATAAGCGAAACCTCCATCAATCTGTTTCATAAATTCGCTCTTTTCATATGGCATTCTTGCTTGTTGTTTGACATCCACACATGGTGAAACAAAAAGTAGTCTTTCCATAGAGAAATACCGTTGCGGCGGTGAAGGGCAGTCCCTTTGTTTACGTTGTGTGGCGACATCTACTATTTGCAAGTGGGTACGTGAAACTTAGGTTATCTGTCACCTTGCCGGGACTTGATTTTAACATATTTCATGTTGACTAGCTAAAATGTGTTGCACAACATCATTTATAAATTATAAGATCTGAACATCATTTTTCTTCCAAGAGTTTTTTTTTTCTTAGTAATTCAGAGGGTGGCTGTGGCATCTATAATCGTAAAAATTTAATTGCAATACTGAGCCCATTTTTTTGTTCTTAAAAGTGTAACTCACAAAGTAAAACAGATATCGATATAATAGACAATCGTACTCAACTGATAAACTACAATCCATTATCTGAAGGCAAACAACCTCCATCGAACACTCTTCCAGTTTTGCTCAATAATCTGTGTTTGTTTAAGACATTCTCTGGGGCTTGCTGATGCTCAATAATTTTGAGTGTCTTGATAATTCCATTAGCCATGAAATGGGAAATGTGGGAACAATTACACGACGTTTCACTCGTCCGAGTTTGTCGAATAAAAATTTGAACAGCTAAGCTTGCACTTTCTGAAAATTGACTTTTGCTTCCAAATGCATGATCTTATATGTGCATACAAGTCTTGGAGAAAGATGAGGCACTGATGGTCAGTTTAGACGCTCGTTTACTTGACCCAACGATCCATTTCGGTTTGTGCCTATGTTATCCCCTTCTGGGACAAGTATGAACGGAGAAAACTCGAGAACAACGCAAACAATTCTAGGGCAACCCAAAACTGATGGCATTGCTCGGGATTAAGTTAGACAATGGGTAGTTTGATTCTAATGTAAAAAGAGTGTTATACGCCAGCGAGCCGTGGTGCATATCAGCGGAAAACACTCAAAAGCTGCCTGTGGTGTATAATCCGTGCTTGTTGGCCTGAAAACTGAATCTCGAATGCTGAGCTTTATAACCGATATCATCAGAACATTTAACTCATCCATCCAATGCGTCGGGTCGCTCCTAGATATTGTATCGAAAATTATGTTTGAAATCGGATTAAGATTTGTTGACTATGCATTAGTTAATTGATGATGATGGAAAACTCGAAGCCAAGTATGAGAAATAAAAAACAAAAATCAAATCCAGATACATGATTTTAGACGTAATGAACGAACGAGCAAAACTTGACAGAGTTTTCAGAGCAAAGGATCCTGAAGCAACCACTTTCACGATAAAGTTTCCGCATATGATTGCCACTCTTGCACCAAGTCCCTTACGTTGCTTGTTAAGTAAAGATGAACGCAGTTGCGTGCATAATCCATCGAAGAATATGATAAAGTTATCTCATTATAAGCAAAATTGGAAAAGTTTTTCACTTTCCTCCATTGGCTGTGCCATCTTGTCAACATCAACATACTTTAGTCGATAAAAAAAAATATCTCACAGTAGGGAACATCAAAACCAATCGTTCATTACCCACCTGGATACCACCTTGGGCAGCCAATCGCCTCCACAGTACTTAGCCAGCACCGGATCGTTGGTGCTACTCCCATCGTAGAAGATCAGATGGTCACGCTCGCCCGTACAATCGGACCACGCCCGAACAACACGAGACGTCTTGTTGAAGCTGGCAATCGACCTGCAAAAAAAATAGAAAGAATTTAGAATGTTACTGGGACTCCAACACAACTAGGGTTTCCATTCATGGTAAATGAGATAACATTTTCGTTCCCCGGGGTTCCTAAATTTCACGGAAAATTTATGTATTTATTAATAGATTGTTGTTTATCTATTTATTTGATAAGGCTCAAACGAATTAAATTAACAGAGCTGAGGATTCCTGATCACTTCACAATACATCTTAAAACTATAGTCAAAAGGTTCAACACAATAAACACTTTATCTTCCGCTATTCAAAAAGCCTCCTCCATCAGAACTGGAGCCGTTTCCAGTGGTTTCCTTGTATGGCAATTACGCCATCGCGGAGCAGAGCGCTTTCATTGCAGCAATGGACGCAAAACGTGGTCAGCACCCACACACTCATCACGAAACGGTTGCTTTCCAAAGTCGACGACGCATCGACCGAAAGAACTGCTGATGAAGAACAATGAGGAGAACCAAATAAAGGTTGCTGCCGAGAAAACAGCCGATCGCGTGGCAAACAACGAGAGTGGCCTGCTTTTGTCGACAGCCGAGTGGACATTGATTTATTAATAGACAGCTGAACTGAATTTCCACTGCAATTTATTATTAGTGTAAGGCATTGCTTGTGGTTGATGTTGGTACACTATGAATGGAAAAAATATGTCAAAATTGCATTTTAATTGACATTTCGGAAGGTTGATCGATATCCTACTTGTTTTCTGTTTGTATTCAAGCCTCTTAGACGTCGACTACCATGCTGAAGGCATAGTTAATACAACTTACTTGAACATACTATGGTGGTTTGCTTCCAGACGTTTTAAAATTTAATGAGCAGTCCTGTATATAAGATTTGTAAATGTTGGCTGAAATCGGACCAATTTAATATGATGTCTGTTGAACATATGTTAGAGCTTCTATACAGGGATGGTCAAAAAAGTTAATGAATCTTGAAGCATACCAACACAACCCAAAAAATGTTATAACATCATAGTCATAGCTGTTCGTTCAATACAAAATGCATAATTGTAGTATTATGACCATGAAAGAATGACGAATACCAGCATCAAAATTAATTTGACATCCGACGGACAAGCCTCAGCGGTGGAACTTCAAAAAATATTTTTCGAGGTGCATGAAGAATATGATTTACCAAAACAGGCGCCATCTGACGACTTGGAATCCTACCGCCGTCATCTCAACAATCAGAGGATTCAACACCTGCAGCGTGTGAGGGAAGCGCCGTCAAATTTCACAAACCGAATTTTCGGATGTAATTACTCCCTTCGACGAGAAACAGGTACCTAATAATAATACTGAAACTATCAACCGACGAACTTCCAACAATTTCTTCAGAAAAACAGAATGCGTCTGAAATTTTGATCTAAAGGCTGACTAAAAGTAAATTGGTACGCTCCTCGCGCGCCGCTAGCACGCCTCCAGTGTTGGGAATCGAAAATCTTTGACAGTGGTTTGTTACACTTCTAAAGAGAACAACTAGTGTAAGTTTGATCAAAGTAGTCGATCGCGTTCAGAAATAACGTCAAATGGAACTCGAAAGAAGAAAAATATTGTGCACAAACATCTGGAAAATCCGGAGTGGTCCGGTTCCAAGCTGGCTAAAATGCTGAAGATGCCGAAAACAACAGTTTGTCGAGTGCTCAAAACCTACAAGGAAACCCTGAATGTGGAAAGAAAGCAGCGGACCTACAAAAAAAACTGGAACCAGGGATCGTCAGTTGCGCAGCAAGATGTTGAGGTGCGTTAAAGCCAGCCCCGGTCTTTCGATCCGAGATGTGGCCAGAAGGTACAACGCCAACTTTCAAACGGTGCGGAACATCCTTACCATGGAAGGATACAAGTAGTACAAAGCCAGTAAACATCCAAACCGGCACATGAAGCAGAATTCCGTGGGCAAAAAGCGTGCAAGGCTCTTGTACGACCGTGTTTTGACGAAACACAATGGCTGCGCTTTGATCGATGGTGAAACATACGTCAAACTCGATTTTGAGCAGAACTGCGGTCAAAAGTTTTACATCGCGAGTGGCCGTGGGGATGTGCCGGGAAGATTCAAGTTCGTGTTTTGCAACAAGTTCGTGAAGATGGCTATGATTTGGCAAGCGATTTGCAGTTGTGGCCTGAAAACGGAACCATTCGTCACATCCTCCACGATTACCTTTCAAGTTTACATCGAAGAATGCCTGAAAAAGCGTTTATTGCCGTTCATCCGCAAGCATAGGGGCAAAGTCATCTTTTGGCCCGATTTGGCCAGCTACCACTACTCCAAGGTGGTTCTGGAGTGGTATGCTGCCAACAAAACTGTTTTTTCCCCAAGCTTATGAATCCTTTGAATAATAATACTGGGCAATTTCAAAGCAGCGACTTTGACGAAGCGTCGGGGCCATCAAGGACATGCAGGAAATGCGGGCAAAATGGAAGAAATGCGCTGATTCCGTGTCCGTTTCCAGTGTGCGGGCGTTCATGGGCTCCATCAAGAAGAAAGTTGGAGATTTCTTTCGAACTGGAGAAAAGTAACCATCTAATGCTGTAACTTTGAAGTTTTAATAAAAGTACTGTAAAGCAACCATTAATGGACTTTTTAAACTTATTGAAAAACGAATTACAGGTATTTTTGTGCGTACCAATTTACTTTTAGTCAGCCTTAACTATCAAAATTTCAATCGCATGAAAAGCCCAGCCCAAATGAAGTAAATCTATAAAAAAAAATTAAGCTCATCCTTTTCGGAAATTCTGACAACTGAAACAAGCAGCGATGAAAGCGTACAAAGTGTAGAAATCTTTGGAAATGCCTTTAATATATTCAGAGACCAAATAAATTTGCATGCGTCTCAGAATAAGTCAGGCGGCGGAGTTCTTATAAAAGTCCTTATCTGAGCTTCCTACTGAGGTTAAAGTTCACATCTATGGAGACTTTAATCATTTGTTTATCTCAAATCGACGGAAAACATTCCACGCAACTACCATAAACCTGACTAGTTCATATTGATCTTCGTCAAGCTTCGTCTACAATTTGGACTTCTACATCAACACATGTCAGCCAGCCTTCAGTTCAATTGGCTAAACTTGGTGAGTTCGTTCCATTTTGTAAATTTTTATCTTTTCAACCCAGTAACGTTGGGAAATCACCTTTTTGTGGTGCGTTACTGATATAATATTTACCACCGAATCCTAGTAGTGACAACTTCAAACTAGGGAATCAGGATTTTTCTGTAATGAAAGGATTACATTTTAGTGCTTTTTACTTTATATGACTTGATAATAGTGACAAGACTCGGGTTGTGACCACCGCTGATATGCAATTCTATATTGTATATTTCAAATTAAAAATATTGATTATGTTCATAGAGTTTACATAATCCTTTTCCCTTTCTTCGATTTAAACAGGCCCGATGTTTTCTGAATCATCTTGCCCTTTAAATGCTGCACAGTAGGCCTGGCCGTTTTGATATGTGTGACGCATCTTTGATGTGGTGCATATATCAAATAGAGAAGAAAAATTATGGAGGTATAGTTATGGACATACCGATGCACCAACCAACCGACCGTGGCCTAGACGCTGACTCAACAACATCCCCGTATTCGACTCCATGCACGAGGCACCTGGCGACAGGAATGGATGGAAACAGGCCAACGCTTACTCGACAATGCACTTTGGACACGGAAGAATTCGATGACCAGCAATTGTCAACTTAGCAGTTGACGATCGGTTACCACCCAGAGGAGTTTTGCTGAGACAGCAGGAACGAAAAACAAAACCTGTTGCAGAGGCAGGAGCGAGGTAGTTTATGTTAGGTTCTAGGTAAGAACAGGAGTAGTTCAGATTTAGTGTTAAAAGTGAAATGTAATTACCTTTAAGGGAATAAAGAAAATTATTTTTTTATGATGCCAAGAATCATCCTGGCATAAGTGTATATCCATTATTTTCCAGGATGCTTTCAAGAACTGGCTGTGTTGGTGTTAGATTAGATTAGATTTGACATCGATGGAGACTTTAATCAACGCCATGCTGAGTTTTTACTGAACTCTGAAAATGAAAGAATTTTACACCCAGTCGTTGGGGATAATGAAACATTGCAGCTATTATTCCTAACACATGTTTACTAATACAATTCTACCATAACCCCTTAACTTGCAAAAAATGGACTATGGAAGCTAGGATTGCATTATAAATATTTGATCGCGCACGGATAGGACCCAATTTGTACGTTGTGTGATAGTTGAAAATAATGATTTACGCTCGATTTACTGACCGTCCTGCCATGGCGGAGGTAAAAGTACTACAGACGTTTGTTTACTGTAACATAACAAGAACAGTACATAATAAGCTATAACAATGATACGGGGACAAGTGGTGACATCTATAGGTAGGCACAGTACTTATTTTATGTTAAGGGTAGAGGCAGCAGTAGTCGCCTGCACGAACAATATTTTTCCATCTTTTTTATCACTGCTCGTTCTCTCATATAACCTATAAAAATATCGATATTGATGATCAGTTATTAAATATTCAACGTAACGGTGTATTAAGTCAGTCTTGTAGTCAATATTTTCTATCTAGCCTAGTGGGCTTCCCAACAAAATGTACCACCATTCGACCATTTGTCCCTGTTTGGATCATTCGGCCTTTTTTCCATTCAACCTTTTGTCTCCCTTCTTATCATGTGTCCTTGATTGATAGATTAAATGAGGGGTTTGTGGATTTTCCTATGTTTCGAGGGGTGAATCGATTAGCTTGGGACCGAAGATATTACCAGAGCTGAGCCAAAAAGTTGAGCACGTTTCTTTGCGACCTACTAGTCTTAGAGTTACCTCTATGATTCAACCGTTGGTCACTCTTTGAATGATTCGACCTATTGTCCATTCAACCTTTTGTAGATTCAACCTTTTGTCCATTCGAACTTTCGTCCCCCTTCTCATTATTCGCCCGTTTTTCCCTCTTATGATCATTCGACATTTTTTGCATACTACCTTTTGTCC